TGCAACTAACAATAAGCCTGGTTAGTTTGCAGGTGTCATGCTGGTGATTGGAGAAACCTAGTAGGATAATACGTGAAAACCAGGGATTCTAGTTACCCCCGCAACACGAGCTGGTGACGACAACGAAAGTTCCTCGCCCACCCCTCCGACAATGTAGGCTTATTGTACAAGGTTAGGTAACAACATCTATAAGAAAATCCAACTCCTTAACATCCATCCAAACCGACAACGATTATCAACAACCATTACTACACGTCCAAGCACTCCTCCTCCATCTCCCCCTGCCTTATACTTGTGTTGGATTCTTCTCAATTACTTAAGTGATGCGGCTATGTGTGTGAAGCTTCCGGTGAAGAGCAGCTGTCCCCTTCCCTACTTGCTGCAGGTGCCACAGGCTTGGGTAACCTGTAACCTGCCGCAATCCTAGAAAGGTAGAGAAGGACAAATACTAGGTGGTCGGATGAAAGGCTAATCTCTACTGGATGTCCTAACCGGAGTAGTGATCACTTAACTAATTGAACAAGGTATTCAGGTGAAATGTAAGGTGGAACATTTTCGGCTTGCTGTACATCAAGCCACATTTGAAAAGCAAGCTTGCCAATCCTAGTCATGACTTGGAGGCCAACCTGTATATAGTGGCTGCAGTGCCTTTATATAACTAGGTATTCAATTTCTCTAGATAGCTAGACACCATTCGAGGCATAATATAGGTTTTGAATTTCCTTTTTCTATATTTTTGGATAGTGTTAAGGAGCACAGAGGATGGATCGTATTTGCGGAGCCTGGCATTTAACTCTTCCTAGCAATAAATCTTGTACTGCAAGTCTAAAATTATAATAATAAAATAAGGTGTAATAGTATTTTGCTCTTTTAAAAAAATAAAATAAGGTGTAATAGCATTTTGCTCTTTCAAAAAAATAAAATAAAAATAAATAGATTAATGATATAATTGTAATTATAAATATTATTTAATAAAAATTATAGAATTGTATATTAACTAAACAATATAAGCATTTAGATAAATTGTTATTAAAGTTAATTATAAAATAGTTTTCTTTAAGTAATGTTTTTTTTTAATATAAATAAATATTTTTTTGTAGGTTTTAACTATTGTATTAATGTTATATATAAATTAAATATTATCTTGAGATTTGATATTGAGCTATGTAATTCATTAGATTTTTATTATTTGTAAATATTTTAAATTAATTTGGTTTTGAATATAAATGAATTATTTTTATATGTAAAATGAGTTGTAATTATATAAACTTGATAATGTTATTAAATTTTAATAATTAATAAATAAATTTTAGATTGAAAGCATTTGTTTATTAATTGTTTTTTTTGGATTGAAATTATAAAATTATAAATTGATAAATAAAAAGTCAATTAAGTTTTTTGTGTTGTCAAAATGGAATAAGCATTTCACTAAGCAGTTTTGGATTTTAAAATCTTTAGTTGCTTTTATTGTATAGAGGATCCACTTGTTTTAATTAAATTTTTCTGAATTGTATATAGAAAGAATCAAATTGTTTTTTTTGAATAAATTAGATATTTTATATTGTATACTTCTTAAAAAAGAGATAGAGAGTAATAATTATTTATAATATACAATATATCATAAAATTAGTTTAACATTGTTATTTATAATAAATAAAAATAATATAGAATTCAATAAAAAATTTTATTTTTGTTATATTATTATTTAAAACACTATTATTAAAAAACAAAAATAATTATATTAATAATATTGAAAAAAACAACAAATAAATTTTATTTAATTCAAATATGAAAATTTATTTTGACCGTATGATTTTTTTTTTGATAAATATTATTCATTTTAATTTTTACATATACAGTATATTGTGAATATTAAATTGATAAATTGTATTTGCAAAATCATAAAATAATCTTATTATCAAGTGTTAAACAAAAAATAATCTTGATTGATAAAAATCAATTTTATTAACAAATATTTTATCAAATAATTAATAAAAAATTGATGTTTTTTGAAATTATATTTAAAAAACAAGTTTTTAAATTAAAGACAAAGATATAGTTCAAGTGTTTTTTATTATCAATTAATAAACTTATCTTTATGTGGATTAATTATATACTGTAATTACTGTTACGTAATTTTCAATATTGCTACAAAAAATTTTTTATATCATATTGTTAATTGCTTATTATTTTTTTTTCAAGGTTCATTTACATACCAAATATTTTTTGAAAGATATTGATCAGTCATTTTAATATCATAATTTATAATAAACAGTACACAGTATTTTAAAGAATTCCTTATCGAATTTCATGATAAGAATTGTATGATTATATTAAGTCAAAAATCCAAGTTTTTTTATACCAAACATTTTTACTCATTTTGATCTGAATCGAGCGATTTTAGTGTTATCCGAACAAATTGCATATTTCTGGTTGCCGTATTTGATTGCTTGATTTTTATGTTGTTTTGGGACTTTGTATTATTTAACTTTTATATTTTATATGAATAATAAGAAATTATTAAATCTAGTACGATTTTTACAATTAATTGGCTTTAACTTTTTTTGATTGGTTTTTTGATTGGTTTATTAGATTTACTTTTATTTTATGAAATTTGTTAACCATCAGTTAAACTTTATTATCAACATGTTCTCGAGATATTGACATGTGCCACATAACTTAAATTCATGAATTCAATCATAGGCGGTTAAATAATTGAATAGTTTTCATAAAAAATTGTTATTACATTTTAATACTTTAATACATATTATGAAAGGTTTAAATACAAAGAGAATTTCAAAATATCCTCAAATTTCAACCAGAATATCCGAGTCTAACTTTCGTTTTCTAACTCTTACCTCAAATCCAACGCATCTTTTAAATAGAAATTTAGTAAACTTCAAAGGATTTTCCGTGTTGACAAACTCAAGATCGTATTTTTGGTAAAGCATAACAAGCGTAGTCTTTAGTAAAAGTTTTCCTAAATTCCTTCCGGGACCTTTGGTAAAATACAGTAAATATTTAACATAAAAAAGTTTTATGATTACTATGCATGTAAAATTTTAGAAACTTACATTTTCTCAATCCTTCCCCAAAATTATAAATTTTATTTCTATAATCGGGATGAGATTCGTCCATAAATCTATCAGGATTGAATAGCTCGGGATCGGTCCATTTTGATTTCTGTTTATTAAGTGCTTCGATGAACACAAAGAAACCGGTGTTTGCCGGAAATGTGTAGCCACCGATCTGATCAGGTTCTTCGTTTCTCTTGGCAACATATTGTGCAGTGGGCGATATTCTAAAAGCTGTTGATGATAATGAAAATTAATGAAATTCTAATAAAAAAAATTTTTTTAAAAAAATAATTACCTTCTTTCAAGACAGCATCGCAGTAAACCAGCTTGTTAATACCTTCGTAAGTGATATGAGAGTCAGGAAATACTTCTTTGAATTCCTGAATCAATCGTTGTTTCACTTTAGGATATTTAGATGTCAAGTAAAGTAAATGAAACAAAGCTTCCGATGTCTACATAATAATATAGGTGTTAGTACTTAAAAGATTAAAATGTTATTAATGCGTATTATTTCGCAATTAGATACCGTGACAAGTGCGGCCAACGAAATTTCCATAAAATTTGGGGCAATCTCTTCATCAAGCATTGGTCGATTGTTATTTTCATCCTTATTAATATCACGTGATGTGTTAGCTGTTAAAAACATTGTTAAGAGGTCTGGAGTCAACTGTTTGTCTTCAGGAGTTTTTTCAATCTCCTCCCTCCGAGCGTTGACAATTTTAAGAAAATGATTCCTTAAATACTCCATCTGCTTCTTTAATCTTGTTGTGTACAAGTTGATGCCGGGGAAATCTCTGATGAACTTTGGAACACTGCGGAACCATAATAGAGCATTTGGAAATTGCGTACCACATTTCTGAATATATTCATTATCTTTATCAGAAACTCCCGTGTTTTTGTCACTTGATATCTCTTTATAATAACTAGTTAATGTATCAGAAGATTTACTTATAGTAAGAAGGTCAATGGTATCTCTTATGTAACTTTTCATCCATTGAGAAAGATCCAGCACAGTGCCTTCACCAAGCATCATCCAATAGTTTTCCATCTTTTGGAATGAAGCTTGCGCACAAACGAATGATTGTTTCATGAAGGACCGCGAAAAAATGGCCTTTAAATAAAATTTCTGGATGTATAACCAATTATCATAATCTATATTCATTGCCAGTCCCGTATTAACTATTCCAATTTCTTGGAGATCAGAATTTTTATCGACACGATTATGAAAATTACCACGAGGAACGAAACTAAAAATTTTTTCTGTTAATTCCTCATTGCAAAGCCATACTTTACGCTTAGAGCCTACGTAAACCTCGAATATGTCCCCGTATTTAGATTGCAATTCCGAAGGCCAGACAGAGATGTCACGAATGATCGTAAAGAAATTTCCGATGAACGGCAGGGGAAAAGGACCCGGCAGAGGGCTCTCGCGGGTGAAGTACTTATAATAATAGCGTGAAACATAGGCTATTACGAGGAGGAGTGTAATTGATAGAATGTCAATATGAAAAAACGAAAACATTATACAGTACACCGAAAATTATAGTCAAAAAATTTAACAAGAATATTTTATATCTCAACAACGTCGTGAAAACTATTTGTTACACTAAAAAACTTTACTAGCTTTAAGGAAATATATTTTTCCAAACGATTGTTATCTTTCAATCATCCTCTTAATAAATTACAATTTCCTTGTTACAAAACAAAAGGGCATTTTTTTTTCTGTCAAACTACAGGTGATATTTTAACAACGTTTATCCACTCATGATTAGAGTTTGATTATACTGTACCACGTGGCACTATAAATGTAGTAAGGACTGTACATTATTACGTAACAGAAGATGTCAGAAAAAACGAAGGTCCCCACCCCAGCCGAAAGTAGCACAGCGACTTCCTTGCCGACCATATATCACAGTTCACGGATAAAGGACCGTAACAGTGTATTTGTTGCACACGCTATAAGCATAAGCACAAAAAAAAATGTTGAAAATTTTAAAAACATATTAGAACTTGAAGAAAAAAATGCGACAAATTATATACTAGCTTTTCGAATGGAAAATGTGGATGGGACTCTAGTAGAAGGTTGTCTGAGGTTTTTTTTTATATGATGCCTTTTAAAATGTTGGTCGATCTAAGCATTAGCTATATATAATATTTATTATATAATATCAGAAAGCGATGACGATGGCGAAAGATATGCAGGGGAACGTTTACTAAACCTTCTTAAAACATTGGACGTTAAGAATGTAGCAGTCATCGTAACACGATGGTTTGGTGGAGTATTGCTTGGTCCTGTCAGGTTCGAACATATTTTAAAATGCGCGAGAGAAGTATTGGATCACGGAGCTTTTGTGGGGAATAGAAATATGTTATCTTCTATTAAACATTCGTCAGCTACATTGCTTGTCAATGC